ATATATATATTATTTTTGCTAGGGTCCTATAATAAAAAAGGGGATGCCCTAATTTTCACTCAAAAATGTTTTGTAGAAATATTTTGGCATGATGTTGTGATTAGCAATTCTAGCCGCTCATTTCGATCGAATTATTGATAAGTAGGGGGAATGATTTAATGCAACGGTTGTATCATAGTATAATACACCTATACTTTTATAAAACCATGTTTGTGGTATTTGTATGATCCAAAATTTTGCACATACACTCTCTTCATCTCAATAATCAATCTCCCTCTTAAAAAAAATTCAATTTGAACCCTAGATTTGGTCAAAATGAGTTCTCTCCAACAATGAATTTAGAACATTCATTTGGTGAATTTTTAGATCTTAGCATTTACAAACTCAAAATCATTTTTTTTTTTTTTTAACTTTGTTCATCTAATGATGATGAAGCCATGTAAAAAAATTGGAAAAGAAAAAATGTTTTTTAAGGTTTAGATCTATGCATCTTATCAAAATGGACGTCTTATGTTAATTGGGCTAAAGAAAATATTTTCTAGGTTGCGTTTTCAAAATTTTCTTTTTTGTGATTGTTCACTAGAATGGAAAGAGTGTATATTTTAAAATTTGGATCAAACAAATGGCCTTAACATGACTTTTGAAGATTATTGTATTATATTACTATACAACCATTGCTGTGAAATCACTACGTGATAAGTAGGTTTAGATTTCTATTATTATCTATGCTACATTATTAAGCAAGTTAATGGGTGAACACATGTCATAAGAATTAAAAAAAGGGTGCGGTTTATATAGAGCCTAGGCTCTAAACAATCAAATTAGAGCCTACCTTCAAATAGTATCGAGAAATGTAGTTTCAATATTGTAAATCTTTGTGATAGACTTAAAATATATTTTTATATTTATTTATAAAGTTTAAAGCTTCAAAAATAGTGAAGATAGATAGATCTATGAAAACTTGAAAATCTTGAAAATTGACGGTCCAAAAATGCATTGCAAAATACACTATTTTCAAAACTTGAGATCATTTTTTTTCATGTGCATACATCTTGATGTCGAGATGATCAATTTGAAGATATTTGGATATCAAAACAACCTCTTTTAGTGAATTTTTTGTGATAGGCTTAAATTTGATTGTTTAGAGCTTCGACTCTATATAAACTTTTCCCTTAAAGAAAATGCTATCTTTAGAGAGATTGTACCGTTAGAGATATTGTACTGTTCAAATAGGACCGATGGGACCCTTCGTTTGAGAGTATGTAGGGGCAGAGAGAGAGAAACTCCTTAAACAATTGCCAAATCTTGGTTTGCCTTTAAAAAAAGAAAAATGATCTTATAGGACCCTTTCCCATCCATGTGTGTATGACTCTCAAAAGATCACCATTAAAGTTGGTACGGATCTCTAAAAAAGTCTTTCACACCCATGTAACAAATTTTTTAGAGATATGTGACAACTTGAATAGTGATCCTTTAGGGTCATACACACATAAGTGGGAGATGATCTTATAAGATCATTTCTCTTATTATAATATTTTTCCAACTATTTGGGGTGATCTATATCTTAATGAACCATAGTTTGCTAATATGCTTCTAGTGCCAGCCCGTGGGAACATTACCGTCCACCTACTCTTACAGATGAAAAGGAGGGTTTTTCCACGTGAAAGCTTGGGATCTAATTTAGCATCACTAGGTGAATATGTTTTTAAGTAAAATGGATTTTGAATTTCAAACGATCTTTGTTCAATTTTAGAATGTTAGTTTTCAAGTACACATAGAGTGCACATGAATTATATGATTATGTTTTAGTTCATTAATATTGAGAAGGTTACATCCCAAAATTTCCAATCCAAAAAGTACTCCTAGATAACTAAAAATACTCAGAAGAATCTTACAGTTGGAAAAAAAATCGCCGAATGCTCCAAGGAGTATATAATCTTTTGGCCAATGTCATCGTCAAGTCCCTTTCTTATCCTCCAACGTAAATATTTTCTTATCCTTAAAGTCTCATTTTTTATTGTAGTATGAAAAGAAAACCTTTTAATATAAAGTCGATCTTTCAAGTTTACTAATATATGCTTTTTCATAACAAATCTATCTTTCCTACTAAGAAAACAGACTTTAGTAACTTGATGATTTTTTTAAGAACTAATTTCGGTCCTTTTTTTTTTATCAAACAAATATCACTTTTTCTCTCTTCCTATCAAACTTTAGGGAATAACTTTTGATTAAAAAAGACACGGTTAGCTTGCATGCCACAGACTCACATGTTGAAATACGAGCCTTTTAATAATTTATTTTTGAAATAGAATTTGATCTTAATATTTAAGGAATATATAACTTTAACATGGAGATTATTAATTTGCAAAAATAAAAAAATTTGTAAAAATTATAAATGATAGTTTTTTGAGAAAATATTTGAACGGTTGATTTTACTTTTTTTTGGAAGACTATTACATAAAGGACCCGGTTTTGGCAGACGGTAGAGATCTCCCTCCCGCATAGTTGTTAGAATTCGAGGGAGTATAGATACTTTTTTTTGGAAGACTATTACATAAGGGACCCAATTTTGGCGGACGGTAGAGATCTCCTGTCCGCATAGTTGTTAGAATTCGAGCGAGCATAGAATGGAAAATGGAGAGAGAAGAAGAGATAGCACAACATTTATATGGTTCAAGCCGAAGCCTTACGTCCACGGATCCATCTTCACTATTTTGGATGAATGTTTATATTAATAAGTACCTCTATATACCTCTATATATATAGAGAACAATCACACAATTAAGGAGATAAATATGGTGTGATTCTTAAAGATATAGATAAATAGCAAGATGCCTTATCACCAAACTAACTTGATAACTAAGTAACTTTGAGAACTAACTAGATGACTAAGTAACTTTGATATACATCAACTTTGATATACATCTATAATGATGTATATCAATATGAACCCGAGATACCCCCTTAAACTCTTGTTGACCAAGTAAGTTTGATATACATCCATAATGATGTATATCAATATGAACCCGAGATATCTATATCCTAACATCCCCCCTCAAACTCAAGATGCTTTGACGCAGCTAGAGTTTGAACAGTATTAAGTTGCAAAAAAAACGAGTAGTGATCAAATCCATGATACATCCATAATGATGTGTATCAATATGAACCCGAGATATCTATATCCTAACACTCCCCCTCAAACTCAGATGCTGGAGTTTGAACAGTATTAAGTTGCAAAAAAAACGAATAGTGATCAAATCTATGATAAATTGGACAGGTCATTATAGCCTTCCAAGAAACACAATTTCTTGAGCTCTCTACTTTCTTCTAGAGACTTTCTCTTTCTAGGGTTTTATTCTCTTAAGATTTTCTCTCTCAGAGGCTTCTTTTCTCTTTAGTGACTTTCCCTCTCTAAAAGAAAATGATATTTATTTCTCTCTTCTTCGGAAGATCCGGGATCGAGTAACGAAAAACTCGACAATCATTACATAGGATGGAGCAACGGAAAATTCCATCATAAAACATGATCAAGTAATGGAAAACTTGATCATCAACCAGAATTAAGAAATTCGATCATCAAACTGAAACTGGAACTGGAGTCTTGAAACCAAAAAGTTGCCAAATAAACTTACACTGCTCTCACCTATGTGCTTGCTCTCACTGGTGTACTTAAATAGTCTGCAAGATCGAAAAGATGTAATCTGGAACACTAGCATGCTTGCTCTCACTGGCGTGCTTGAATAGTCTGTAAGATCGAAAGGATGTAATTCGGGACACTGGCGTGCTTGCTCTCACTGGCTTGCTTGAATAGTCTGCAAGATCGAAAAGATATAATCAGGGACACGTGAACACCAAACTTGGTCTAAAGACCACTAAAAGTGCTACAAAGGCACAACAAAGACAGCTCTGCGACAAATGGCAACGAACACTGAAGATTCGTGAAAACTTATCTTTGAAAAATCCGCTAATCATGAATGTATGTGCTCCCCTGACGATGTCACTACAACAATGATGTCACTACAACAATGGTGTGACGAAGTCCTCTGCTACATGGCCAGGCGTTAGGAGCAAATAATGCATGAGACAACTAAATGCGTGTATGCAGGAACTGATGTTCTTGTCCTCATAGCGGGTACATTAGAAATGTTGACTTCATCTCTACTAATCTCATTTCCATATTTTCTATATTCTCCTCCTCAAGTTGGGTGTGGATGTGAAGAAACACCCAACTTGCAAAATACATAGTTTTTTTAGTACAATGATATAAAAAAAAATACGAATGAATTGAGCTTCTAGACAATAGCCCACATCTTAAAAAAAATACTACCCAATTTTTTTTTTTTCTTCTCTACTTCTTCAAATTTTTTTTACAAGATCACCACCGATCAACGTCGTGCTTGAGCATATTCTCTTGACGTCGTATTTGCTAACATCGAAATTTGTGATGGCGTAAACACCTTGGAACTTAATGGGCGCGATATCGTAGGCTTTAGCTGCCTCCTCTTGCGTACCGAGAAAGAGGTCTTTGTTACCGGCAACTTTGCCAATGCAAGCTTGCCATCGTCCATGTTGATGATGCCTTGTCACTCTACAGTACACAGATGCTCCTCTAGAAAAGCAGCTACTTTTCCTCCTTAAGTTGGCCACAAACTCCTTCCTCATCATGTTCTTCATCTCCTCCAACTCCTTTTCGTAAGCGCTGCCAAATCATAGGCCTTGGTTGCATTTTCTTCATTATCATATCCACCAAGATACACTTGTTTACCCTTCCTAGTCTGGCCTTTCTTTCTACAGCTATTGTCACATAGATGAGCTTCGTATCTCCCGATCCAACGATGCTTGGTAACCCCATGATAGTCCAACGATGCCTGATAACCCCACGATACTGTGAAGTCCTCTAGCCAAAGGCCTCAATGGATTTCTTTGGAACTGGAGTTTTTAGATAGAGAGATGGATCAGAAGCTACGGATCAAGGAACTGGTCTTGAAATTTCCCGACCTCAAATTTGGGGTTGACGAGCTTAGATCTGAGCCAATAAGTCTATTGCACTGATACCAGGTTAGAATTCGAGGGATCATAGAATGGAGAGAGAAAAAGAGATGTTCAAATTCAAGGGATCATAGAGTAGAGAGAGAAGAAGAGATAGCACAATAATTACCAGGCTAGAATTTGAGGGATCATAAAATGGAGAGAGAAGGAGAGATAACCCAACATTTATATCTCACTATTTTGAATGAATATTTACATCAATAAATACCTTTATATACAAAGGATAATCACACAATTAAGGAGATAAATATGGTATGATTTTTGGAGATATAGGTAACTATTATGACACCTATTATCAAACTAATTTGATGATCAATTAATTTGATATACATTCATAATGATATATATCAATATGAACTCGAGATATCCATATCCTAATACTCTTTTCAAACTCTTGATGACCAAATAACTTTGATATATATCATAATGATATATATCAATATGAACCTGAGATATCTATATCCTAACAATAATAACAAGTGTGGGTTTTGCCGCACCAAACAAATTTCCTAAAAACAAAGTGGGTCTTGAATTTTTGACTCGAGAGACCAATGTTTTAATTTGCCAAAAATATAACAAAGATAAATAGTCTAATAGTATACAATCACTTTAATCTCGAAAATAAAATAAAAAATAAAATAAAATAAAAATAAAAATAAAAATAGAAACAGAAACAGAAACTGTATAGGAAGTTGGTTTCTTTTAGGTTGGCTAGAGAAGCTTAGTACCAAACGAGCTCTAGAACGTACCGAAAAGTTAGGATTTCGTCGACAATTCGGGGAACTAAAATATCGTGAGTGCAACCTGGTCAAACCACAGAGACGGTGTCGCACGACACGAGCTCCCGGAAACAAACGGTGATGGGGGGCTTTTCATGCCTGCTGTGGAGAATCTGAACCGTTCAATCTCACCGCAATTTTGAACACAAAGAGAAACTAGACTTAAAAGCCGCGCTCCATTTCTTCCTCAAGCTTCCTGCTCCTTGTTGATCTCTGAACAAGACCATAACCCTAATTTCTTTTTCTCTGAAAAATCTTCCTTGAAGGTACGCTTGTTACTTGTTTTTTAGGGTTTTTGTGGATGCATTAGTTTCATATCTTCGTGTGTTGGTTCAAAGTTTTAAAATCTAGGGTTTCGCATGGTTATGGAAGGGGATTTCAGATTTCAGAGTTTCTTTCTACGGAAAATGATCATGGGAGTTTTTATTTTGTTTTTTATATATTGGTCTCGTTTCATGGTGGGTTGGAGAACATGCTTTCGTTTGAACTTTGAAACCCTAATTATTTGTCAAATCGATGGCGTCTTATAAGTCATTATGAGTTGCAGAGAACCACGATTCATTCTCTTTCTGCATGAATCTACACCCGTGTAATTAGATGTGAAAGAACATTGTTGATCCTATATATTCTTGTGAAATTAGGGGTCCGTTATTTTCCTTGCTAGTTTATTGTAAGTATTATTTTTCCTTTTTTTTGAAAACATAAGATGATTTTTTTCTTAGAATGGCAATAAATGTCTTAATTTAATGGCTAAAATGACAAGAATATGAGAAAAAGAGAAGCATTGTTTTCGTTAATAAAAGTAAATTTTTACGTGATGTCTGAGAGCCAGTTAACTTGTTCTTAAATGAATCATGCTTATTTTGTAATCCGCCTTGTGTGCCAACAAACCATTTCTTTTTGTTGCGATAGAGAGGCTTTTGTTGTTATGGTTTTCTTAGCATCATCCTAACTGAATCCAAATGTGCACACTTGGTATTGGGTTACTAGTGCAGTTCGAGGGTTAGCCATTAGAGAAACTAAGGTTCTTGGATTAGTTCAAAGGAGTGGCTTGAGAATTCACATTGAGATGTTTAAAAATGAATTGTGATTAGAGAGTTTATGGTTCAGTCTTGTCTGTTGGGGCAAGCTTGTTTCAATTCTGACCTTATCCTTAAAAAGATAATTGAGGCCTACCCGCACTTTCTAGGTATTCTGGTTCGCCTCGCTACTTTTCTTCTTACTTCCTCTCGATTTTTAGGATCTTGTTGAATACTGCTCAGCTCAATCACGTACTGAGGTTGTAAACAAAAGATAATATCGGTACGGACCTAAAAGTTTTTTTTATTTTATTTTTTATTTTTTATTTGAATTTCCTTAAACCTTATTTCATGTTTGTTTAGACTACAGAGTCTTGCAGATATTGAAGATTTGACTATGCAACATGGCTTAGGATGAGGGTGCTCCTCGTGCTGATTTGAGTTTTAAAAATTTGGTTGCTATTAGTTTGGATTGATCTCTTGGTTTTTGTTACCACTTGGGATGGCGTGTGGAGAAGCTTGGGGTTATGGTTAGAATCCACATTAACCTAATACATATTGGTTTATCAAGAGGGAACAAAAAAATTGGGCTCTGCTGACGAATCAGAATTAGGTGCATTTTCGGATTGGGAATGTAAGTCCTTAGGCATACCTTAGGTGCATTTTAGGATCAGGAATGTAAGTCCTGAGGCATACCTCATTCCAAGATGTGTGGCATTTGCAAGATTGCTGAGTTCGCATCCTTGGGCATTGATGATCAGATAGGCAATTTTAGGAGTTACCTTTTTATATATTTTGATTGTTAATAATGTTACATTGATTGTGGCATGGTTGTTGGTGTGATACACATGTACACGGTGTCAGATTGTTCGAGCCTTAAAAAGTATGATTCGGGGACATTGCGATATGCTTACATACATTTATACACTGAAGATAAATACTGGTGCGTGGACCACCTCTTGCCGCCTGGTCTCCTTGGTGGTCCAGGCAGCCTGCCGAACTGCAGGGACCTAGGTGGGCGCCCTATGTATGCAGTGCCCGCCTAGGTGGGGCACTTGAGCTTAAAGATAAAAAAAAAACAATCGAAAGAAAGAAAGAAAAAGAAAGAAGGGCATTTTTTTCTGCCATCAAGTGTAAAGTGCTTGCTCTGTCTCTTTTTTTCTGCTGACAAGTTTTCAAATGCTCGTTCTCTTTCTCTTTCTAAGGTCATTTGTTTCTGGCATCCAATTGTTAGATGCTTGCTGTCTGTATTTCTCTGTACATAGAACACCCCCTTCCCACTCCAAGTGTTAAGACTCTCTCTCTCTCTAAAAAGCGCATCTGTTTTACCCTCCAAGTGTCTTTGACACTCTCTCTCTCTACACACACAACACTTCCCCAAGTATTTGAGCTTTCTCTCTCTCTCTCTCTCTCAAGTCTTCGAGGCCCTCTACATATCTTAACACCACCCCCCCCCCCACACCAGCATCACGCAGCT